AATATTGCAATATCATATCACCTTTGAAAATCATTTATGTTATAATAATGGAGGTAAACTAGATAATCTTTATCATTCATTCTAGTTTAGAAGTTTTACTGCCTGTGATTCTAAGTGTTTGTGCGTGTATAATATTTGATAAAGTGCCTGGCCCATTTAGCTGTTCAATTCTATTAGCTATTTATTCACTTATTTCCATGTTACATCCGTTATATGCCATTTGAAGAATTATGGGTATATAGTCTCATAATCATAGAAGGGACTAGAGGTTTTATGTTTAATCTCAAACCTAATCCTTTAAAAGGTTCATGGCCCATAACTTAGAGTGAAGTAAAGAACATTTATGAAAAATATTTGCCAGCTAGTATACTTACAACTTTGTTCAAAGCCCAAGTTATGTGTGCATATTTCTGGTTATTAAAGATAATGCTACTTCTTTATTTTCAGGCTTATGAGTGTAAAGGTGGTTAAGAGAAAAAAATGTGCTTATCGTTTCTGCACTGTGAAGTTTGCTGTTCAAAGATATTATACATGCTAAAATAATCTTTGTTATTTAAACTTTCTCTCATTAAATAATGCCTTTGCATTAGTCTACCTTTAAGCTTAATAGATTAACAAGTTATTTTTTCCTTGGATTAATAATATTTTTACTAAAAGAGCTTTCCCTTCTTGACTAATTATATTATTCAAACAAGTGAAAATCTGATTGTCAGTCATGTTAGTTTGAACATATATATTATATATACATATATACATTCATTACTGGCAACAACTCTTCAGGACATTTGAATTCAAAATTAATTTTACAGCATTAATGAAATAGTAGTATAGTTGGAAATACTTATTAAATGACTGTTTTAAAATAACTGTTATAAAATAACAGGAATAAATATTAACTATAATAAAGATACAGTTAAGTATAATTTGTTATGTTTAGCTAATGAAAGAAATTAGCAGATAATTTAATAAAAAATATTTGATAGGAAATAAATATGCTATGCATAATATTATTTAATTGAAAATAGATATGTTATGAATGCTATCATTGTAAAGGATATATCCAAGAGAAATAATTATGCTTTGCTAAGAAGATCTTTTAAAAGTCTTTTCTGTTTATACAAAACATATTATTCATTGGTGGAGGAACATAGGAACATTTCTGAGTACTATTCAAATGCATTAAGATGTTAATGCAAACACCGCTTTAGAGGTTTTAATTTCTTCTAGACCTGGCTGAGAGATGTAAATGCTTGGGTAAATAATAGGGTGTTACAGTATATGAAAAACATCCTTTCTATGACAGTAATAAATTAAATCAACACAAAGTTTTCCTCGGCTGTTTGTAAATCATGGAAAATGAATTACTGAGTAAATGAGGATTCTCTAAGTTTGTAATAGCTGACATTACTGTACTACCATCTCTGTGCACCAGCTGAACTAATAGACTGATTCAGAAATCATTAGTAAGCTATCTGTTAAAGGATATTATCACCTGCAGGAAATATTAGAGAGAAACAAGTCACTTAAAACTACCTGAGTTTACTTCCTGGTTCCAGCACCTTATTTGACCTTGGACAAGACCCTTAACCTCACTGTGCCTCCACTTCCTCATTTGTAAAGTGGAGATACTAATAACGACTCGCAGGCTCATGGGAGGTGTAAACTTGGTTGATACATGGAAAGCATATAGTAGGTGTTACACAGACTTTCTGTTGTTTTTGTTATTTGTTCCAAATGGCAATTTAAAAAAATACTTATGAAATGTACTTTCTATTGATATGTATTTCTCCAAATGGAGTATGAGTTGATTATTTAAAAACATCTTTTAACACAAAATTATTTCTTCCTGGACATTGCCCTCCACTGTAATACTTGATTCAGTAAGATGGCAAATTCACCATCAAATCTGGAGCTGGAACCCTAATTCAGTTTGCATTGTCAAGAGAACTTTTTAGTCAGGCCTGGATGCTCAGTATTTCGTCAGCACACTAGAAGTGCTGGCCCAAAATGGGATGCCGTACATTAGGTTAATTTTCACCTTTTGGACTTTTTATTTTGAGCAGATTTTTTACCAACAAACAGTTGTGCAAGGAATCTTATTTAAGATGGATGGATATTATGCCAAATTACAATGCCAGACTTTACAATGTAAAATGGAAATATTTTATGTATATTTTCTAGATACCATTTCAGAGCATTTGGAAACTGAATAACTTTCTCATTGAAAATGACTTAAGTCTTTAGTTGACTTATCTTTTAAGTGTGTGTATATTTATATGTTTATATCTCCCCCCCTCTAGAACTGGGTAGATAAAGCTGAAAAACAGGCTCTTCTCTCTGAAACGCTTGACCTATCAGAACTTTTCCATCCAGACACATTTCTTAATGCGCTTCGCCAGGAAACTGCAAGGTAATTAAAATGAAATACTTTATTTGTCGCTGAGGGTAATTAATTTTGCTTTATTGACTTCCTATTACACTGCCCTTGATTGTCAAGAAATAAATTTACGATTGAAACACAGACAGTTCTGTTATTTTCTTATACTCTACTTTAAAATCATACAGTTAACCTTTAGCTTAAAAAAGTATTGCTTTTAATGATGTGTTTTATTTGAATTTTAAAAGATAAAATGTAACTTTTATAATTTTGATTATTTATCTAAACCCGTGCTGTCCACTATGGTAGCCAGAAGTCATATGGACCTATGTAAATGAATTAAAGTAAGAATCAGATTTAAAATTCAGTTTTTCAGTAACTCTAACCACATTTAAAGTGCTCAGTATCCACATGGCTTGTGGCTACCATTTTGGACTGCATGAAAATATTTTTATCGGCCGGGCGCGGTGGCTCAAGCCTGTAATCCCAGCACTTTGGGAGGCCGAGACGGGCGGATCACGAGGTCAGGAGATCGAGACCATCCTGGCTAACACGGTGAAACCCCGTCTCTACTTAAAAAATACAAAAAACTAGCCGGGCGAGGTGGCGGGCGCCTGTAGTCCCAGCTACTCGGGAGGCCGAGGCAGGAGAATGGCATAAACCCGGGAGGCGCAGCTTGCAGTGAGCTGCTGAGATCCGGCCACTGCACTCAAACCTGGGCGACACAGCGAGACTCCACCTCAAAAAAAAAAAAAAAAAAAAAAAAAAAAAAATTTTTTTATTTTTGAAGAAAATTCTACTGGACAGTGCTGACCAGGCTCCTTGGTGGAGAACAGGACTTGATGATTAAGATCAAGCTCCTTTTCATACCACACTCAGATTATCATATCATATATAATTTTTAATAAGTTAGAATATAATAAAAGGGACATTGTTAAAAATATCCTCAACAAAATTTAGTTGTTTAGTAACTCTCAGGGATATTTCAGTTTGTATTGCTTCAGGATATTATAAACATCAAATTTCAGTTTGGCTAATAAACATTTATTGAACCCCCATCGTGTGCCTGCATTTGAGGGTAATGGTCAAAACAGGATTTAAAAATGAAAAAAAGAAAGACCTTATCCTTAAGGAACTTATAGCATCTAAGAGGAGACTGACATATAACAGTTAACTTTGAAAATGTAGTGTGAACTCTAACATATTATGCATAGTTTAATGGTATTATTATTTACATGTGATAAATATTTTAATTTTAAATAAATAGGACTATATCTTCAGTTACTCTTCATATTTTAATTCTAAGGATTATTGATTTGTGACGTTGATGCTTTACCTTTACAGAGCAGTGGGTCGTTCTGTGGATAGCCTTAAATTTGTAGCCTCATGGAAAGGTCGACTACCAGAAGCAAAGCTACAAATTAAGGTACTAGACTAATTTTACATCTTGGAATCTAAACCTTATCACCACCTGATATAAGAGACTCTGAAATTTTCATCTCAAAGTGACCTATCTTTATAGTTTAAGATCAGTAGAGTTAGATTGTATTATCTATGTGAAAAATCAAAATAAGATTTGGCATGAAACAATTTGTAATAGAAAATACAAACTCTTCTTATGCAAACATAAGAATCTTAGGGATACAGTATTTGAAAGTATAACTTTTAGCACAAATTTATACAAACCATGCAGTTCTTTTACCTTACCTGTTCTAAAACTGAACCTAATATTTATTGTACAATAAACTACATACAGGTTGAGCATCCAAACATCCCTAATCCAAAAATCCAAAACACCCCCAAATCTGAACCTTTTTGATTTTCAATATGATACCACATATTGTCATATTTTGGTCCACATGGGTGGCCAAGATAGTGACACCTTTGCCTTCTGATGGTTCAGTGTGTGCAAACTTTGCTTCATGCACAAAATTCTTTAAAATATTATATAAAGCTACCTTCAGGGTATTTGTATAAAATGTATATGAAACATAAGTGAATTTGGAGTTTCGACTTGGGTCCCATCCCCAAGAGAGTTCATCTGTGTATGTGCAAATAGTCATGCACTGCATAACGATGTTTCTATCAATGACAGATTGCACATACTACAGTGGTTCCATAAGATTATAACAGGGCTGAAAAAGTCATATTGCCTGATGACATCTTTTGTTCAGTGTAACATTTTAGCACACACATTATTTGTGTGTTTGTAGTGATGCTAGTGTAAACAAATCTGCACTGCCAGTTACATAAAAGTAAAGCACATATAATTATATATAGCACATAATACTTGATAAGGATAACTGTTCATGCTTTATTTACTATATAATACCTTTTATCATTATTTCAGAGTGTAATCCTTCTAATTATACTCTTCAAAAAGTTAACTGTTAGCCTCAGGCAGGTCCTTCAGGAGGTATTCCAGAAGGCGGCATTGTAACCATAGGAGATGACAGCTCCATGCCTGTTATTGCCCCTAAAGACCTTCCAGTGGCATAAGATATGAAGGTGGAAGACTGATAAGAATGATCCTGACCCTGTGGTAGGCCTAGGCTAATGTGTGCGTTTGTGTCTTCATTTGTAACAAAAAAGTTTAAATTGTAAAAATTAAAATAAATTTTAAAAAGAAAAAACAAAAAATAATGATATAGAAATATTTTTATACTTTTTGACTCTTGTAAATAACACTTAGCTTAAGACAAACACATTGTACAGATGTGTAAACATTCAAAAGTATAAAAAGTGTTTATGTTTAAAATGCCTGGGCTCAAGTGATCCTCTTGCCTCGGCCTCCCAAAGTGCTAGGATTACAGGCATGAGCTATTGCACTTGACCTGACTATAGTTCTTTAATGCAGTTAACTATATGCAACTAGCTTTTCAGAAATTCCATTCATATAGTTCTAGTTCGCTGCTCAAAACACTTTTTACTTTATACTTTAAATTTTTACGTATCTTGTGTTTATGTTTTAAGCTAAGAGCTATTTATAAAAGTCAAAAAGTTAAAAAAATTAAAAATATAAAGTGAAAAGTTACAGTAAGCTAAGGTTAATTTATTATTGAAGAAAATTATTTTTAACAAATTTAGTGAAACCTAAGTGTACAGTGTTTATTAAGTCTACAGTAATATATAATAGTGTCCTAGGCCTTCACATTCATTCACCACTTATTCACTGACTCACCCAGAGCAACTTACATTCTTTCAAGCTCCATTCATGGTAAGTGCCCTAAACAGGTATAGGATTTTTTAAATCTTTTATACTCTCTTTACTGTATATTTTCTATACATAGATCTGTTTAGGTCTATAAACACTTACCATGTGTTCCAGTTGCCTACAGTATTCAGCACAATTACATGCTGTACAGATTTGTTTCCTAAGAACAATAGGCTATACCATCTAGCCTAGGTATGTAGTAGGCTATACCATCTAGGTTTGCGTAAGTACACTCTCATGTTCACACAGTGATGAAGTCACCTAATGATCCATTTCTCAGGATGTATTCCCATCATTAAGTGATGCATGACTGTATTTCAAAATTTAAAAAAAAATTCAAAATCAAAAACACTTTGTTCCTGAGCATTTTAAGGGATACTCAACCTGTATAAAGTGTAGTATATAAAAAATCAGTATATAAAAAATCTTGTCCTCAGGGAGCTTATAATTTGTGAGTACATTAGTTAACTGTTCTGTTTTTTTTTTTTTTTAAAAAAAAGCCACCATGATGATCTATTTCTTTTGCAGTACAAATTTTTGTTAGCTCTTTTTCCTGTTAAAATCTATTATTTTTACAATAACAGGTAATCATTCAAACATTAACAAAAATAATTTAAAAGTCTGTGATGGAAACTTTTTTCCCCAACAACCCCAACCTTCTTTCATATCGCTAGCCTGTCTTCCACTATCATTCCTTGCCATTCCTCTTTCCCATTTCCTTACATAGAATTGCCCTCTTAACTTTTTTTTCACTTTAAAACTTTAAGCTGGTCTCAAACTTCTGGGCTCAAGTGATCCACCTCCCTCGGCCTCCCAAAGCGACGAGATTACAGGCGTGAGCCATTGCATTTGGCCTGGCTATAGTTCTTTAACGCAGTTAACTTTATGCAACTAACTTTTCAGAAATTCCATTCATATAGTTGGTTCCCTGCTCAAAAAATTTGTTTTCATATTACTACTGTTTTCTAACATACTCTATCATTTATATTTGTTGTCTTATTCTAGTGGAATGTAAGTCCCATGAGAGTAGTAACAATAGCCATTACATAATAAGCACTCGATCAAACCCTTTCTGAATGGTTGAGGGCCTACAATAGGAGAGGCACTGTAGTAGGTGTTTCCAGCATCGGCTGTAAGGGTATAGTGTGCCAGAAATCTGATCATTACCAACAAGCTAGATCTTTCCCTTTTGGCTCTATGGACTGCCATAAAATTCTCACTTAAAGCTGGAGGAGTTAGAAAAGTTTTCTTTCATTTCTTTGCATTTAATGTTGTTGTTTTGTTTTGTTGAGATGGGGTTTTGCTATGTGGGCCAGGGTGAATTTGAACTCTTGGGCTCAAGCAATCCTCCTGCCTCAGCTGCTTGAGTAGCTGGGATTACAGGCACGCACCACCACACCCAGCTTCTTTACGTTTTATGTTAACGGTAGCCCCTAGCTCATGAGAAATACCTTGGCTATTACCGGTGGGTCATACACTGCTGTCCAATTGTCAGGAGCGGAAAGGAACACAAAACATGTATATTTAGTGTCTGGCAGCTGTGAACCATGCATGTAATTATAGCATCATTATTTAATTTAGGAGTATAATAAGCAAGGGAAACCGGTTTTATTGTGTCAAAATGTGTTCCTATTTCCCAAAGTATGTTGCCCGTGCTTTCAGAATGGGAAGAAAGTCATGGACAACCAGAAAATCCCAAGCTTATATAAGTGTTTTGTACATTGGGGCAGTGGGGGGGGCAGGGGGTGGGCTGCGCTGACAGTAAAATAAGATTATTAGTATCTAAAAAAGAGCTATGTGACATTTTTAAGCAATTAATGGGGCAGTCTGAGCCTTGGCCATCACAGTTATCAGTAGATTTCAATAATAACTTCATTGACATGTTTATTATGAGGATCTCTGAATATATATGTATAATCTGTGTATATATAATGAATATATATTTTATATATATATTCAGATTCTATATATGATTAAGATTTATATAGGTAGGAAATATTTGTTTCTTAGAAAACTAAGTATATTTTCATAAAAAGTTCCCTATATCTAGTAAGCGAAATTCTTTTATTTTTCATTTGGGATTCATTAAAAGATATCTTATTGTTAAAAATTAAAATACTCACTTGTAAATATTTAGTAACCTAAATAAGCATGGTATAATGACTAGAAAATAATTGCCATTTTTGTTACTAATGTATTTCCACACATATTTACAACTTTAATTTTAAAAGCCATCTCTACACATGAGATTCAAGATAATTCGACAGAACTTTTCCTCTCTCTGGTCCATTCATGTGAGCTATAAAAGCACATTTTCTAACTTTCTCACCTGCAGTTTCCAGCAATATTATCAGGGAAGAAGTCTTTGTAAGGCTGTCACTGTTAGCACTTGACAAAATTAGTAAGTTCATTTGTCCACTGAGGCTTTTCATTATGTTTTTCAACAAAGGGGATTGTTTCAATAGGAGAACTTTGAATTTGAATTATACTTGAATTTTACTATCACTATAATTTTATTAGTTTTTTAAAAAATCTCTGTCGCCATAGACTGAATTAAACAGTGAGGCTGTAGTTCTCCAAACCAATCAATATCTTAAACCCTCTAGACCTACTTGAGAGAACATATTTATATATTGATTTTCAGTTCCTGAACATGGCCCTCTAAAATTTCTGCCATTATTGATCTATTATGTGTTAAATAGTACTTGAAAACTTGATATGGCAAAATACATAAATCAAGCTCCTGTTCATCCTACGTGTTACATCTTCCTCCAAGGCCGAGAGAGGATTGCCCTAGCAGCACTTCAAGTGCTCAGTAGCCATATGTGGTATAGTATATACAGTAACCACATATGGCTGCTGGGCACATATAGGTACTATACTGTAGCTCTGCATGGAACAGTCAGTTCCCTAGGAAAATTTAAACAGCCTTTGGTCTTCAAGGATTTTTTCAATAATGTTTAATAATTTCTATTATTAAACATTTTAAACAAATACAGAAGAGAGAGTAGTAAAATGAGTCTGCATATTCCAAGGTTTTAAGATTTAGAAACATTCCCCCTTTTTCTCTTTTTATTGTTAAAACACATTTCAGATATCATTTTATTTTACCCATGGTTCTGAATGTGTTTCTTTAAAACTATATATTTTCTTAAATATAATGTATTATCACAAATATCAAAATTAAAATTCCTTGGAATCAGTCCAAAACA